CAGAAGATATTTTGTGTGAAATCTATTGTCTTGGCTTACACAAACGGCTGAACAATTCAAGACATTGCGCCTATTAGTTAGCTAGTAAGTCCAATAAGTTATTACTAGGGAAGGTTTAAGGCTGAAAGCTACCTATCCTGATGCAGGATATTTTTGATTTATACTCTTTCGACAAATTCTGCATATTGTTATATTTTCATTGTCATCAAATTCCATTCATGTGGGGGATTGTTAGAAGTGGTTTTGGAAATTTTGGAAAAATAAAATTTTCCTAAACTTTGGCCTAATTTTTAGGTGGGATCCATGTGTCAAAGTTGGCGGGTCTAAGTAGTAACGCGTTCTATGCTGCATTGTGATTCACGTGGTATATTTGGTTGTTCAAAACCATTATTGGGTGAATAGAAAATTGAAGCCAAAGTGTGTTCCATGAAAATGAAGTTTTGGTGGAAAATCCTTAAAGGTTTGAAAGGCTTGTCCCACATTGGTTTGATAGGAAGAAATTTATGGATTTATAAAACTTGGAATTATAACTTGGGGAGGGCCCCAAGGGGCACCCCAAGTTTGTAGAAGGGAGAGGTTATAGGCAAATTAGGCTAGACCGATTGGACCCAAAAATAACCACACACACGCGCCGCTATTGCCGTCCGTTCGATCGGGCAAGCTGGGCTAGGCCTGGGCGCTGGCGCGTGGTGTGAGGTTGGGTTGGGCATGTCCGGCCCAATACCTATCTTTTTGGACAAAAAATATTTGAATTTAATTTTATTTTTTGGTAAAATAAAATTTATGTCTAGAATTCAAATTAATTTCGGAAAAAATCTGTCCGGTTTTCTCCTCTACCAAAATTCGATCTGGTTTTTATCTGTTTGAATTTAAACCGGAACAGTTTCTATATCTGTTAAAATTCAAACCCAAACAGTGCCATATTTGTTCAATTCAAATTAAACAGGTTTGCACCTGTTTAGTTCAAACCAAACAACCACTTTTTCTCCTATGAATAGATAGACCTTCATTTGGTTTTTCACTCCAAATTTCGTTCATCTCTGCTGCAATTCATCTCTGTATTTTGCTGCATTAATTCCATTATTTTTCTGTGAGAAATAGTATACACTAAAGTGTGTTCATTGTACAAAAAATTTGTAGTGCTGCAATTTTTTGTTGATTGATAATTTTATCTTAGGAGATAGACGTCCACATTTTGAAAATACCGTGGAGAGGACGAATCTGTCTTAAGGACACAGTGTCAAACATTGGACTTGATCAGAAAATTTGTTCAAGAAATTAATCAAGTAAGTTGTTAATTTATTTTCTGTTTTATTATTATTTATTTAAATCAAATTTTTATTTTGATTTTGTTTTTGTAACAAAATAAAAATCTGTTTTTATTTATTGGTTTGATTTTGTAATCAAACAATCTCTAGCCTTTCCTTTATTTCTTTTATATTCCGTTTGTTGTTTAGTATACAAACATAATTTATTTCATTAAATACAGTAAAGATTGTTCAACAAGAGTTAGGGCTTGGGAAATTAGGGTTAGAATGTTAGGAATAAGAGTAAAAATGTAAGTTTATGTTTGGACAAAATTAAAATAAAAAAAATAAAGAGTTCAAAAAAAGATTCACAATTATTACAAACAAAAAATAATAATAACTAAATAAATAAATAAAATGGCCCACACCCCCCCAAAAAAAAAAAAAAAAAAAAAAAAAAAAAAAAAAAAAAAAAAAACCAGAGATGTTAAGAAATGCAGTTGGCCCTTAAAAGATATTTTTAAATAAATTGCATCTTGAAAAGATGTTTAAAGTACAATACGCCTTTTAAAAGATCAAAATTGTTTTTGAATAAATTCAATTGGCAATTTTTTTTTTTTTGAAAATATAAGTCACATAAAAAAAGAAAGCGATCAAGGGGGGAGACCATCTAATTCAAACCAATTTTCAAACAAATTTTAGTTTTAAACATCTTTTCAACGAATAATTGTAAAAAACCCCAATTATATTTCAAAGCCCCCGTGGAAGAATTACAAGAAACCCATAGCATAAGAAAATCAACAATTTTGCAGTCAGAAGTTGTCCTTTATTTATCTTTTTATCTTATTTGAATCACATTCAGTGTATTTAGTTTTAGTCTTTTGAAAATTGAGTTTTTTTTTTTTTTTGTGCTTTTTTGTTTTTAGTAAATATTTTTAAAAGTTTTAACTATTTTAAAAGTTTTATTTTTATTTTTATTTTTTTAGATGCACCTTACTTAGGTGTATCTAAAAAGTAAATATTTATGAAAAAATTAATAAATATACAAAAATATAAAAAAATATACTGAATTTTCATATATATATATATTTAATATTTTTGGTATTTAGTGATTTTTTAAAAGATTTTTTTTCACAAAATTATACTTTTTAAGTGTATTTATGTTAGGTGTGTCTAAAAATTAAAAAAAATACCAAAAATAAGAAAATAAAATTTTCTGAAAAGTGTTTTAAAAAAACTGGAAACAAATAGGGTGATTATTTCTTAATTTTTTTACATATTTTTTTGTAAATAGTCAAAAAGTACACATATTTAAATTATTCCAAACAACCCCTAAAAAGTGAGAAAAAAAAAATGAAAATGAAAAGGTATTTTCAAGGTCAGATAAGATGAATCACTTACTAATAAAACATATGTTAATTTGGAGAAGTAAGTTAAAAATTAATTTTTAAGTTTTTTTTGAACTTTGTTTGAAATAGGGTGCCAAAAATAAAAGAGGTGATATAACATAAAAAAAAGTCAAAAATAAAAAAAATTGACTCTTAACTCAGATGTCAAAGTAGGCTATAGATTTTGTGTTCTAATTTCCCGAGTTGACTCATTCATTAAAAATTAATTTAAAAATATTGATGCAGACTTTGAATTTTAATCCTCATTTATACAGTTCTTAAAGAATTATAATAACATGTTAAAATTATTGAAAATTAATTTCAATTCAACTGTCTAATACTCAGTCGTGAATGACAATAATTTTAAATTAAAAAAGAAAATGACAACTTATTTATTTATTCATAATAAATTATTTTTTACTAGGGACAAAAAATCTACTAGCAAATTGTTGATTTTAAAACAACCCACAGCTTCACCCACAAAGACTTCACGTGATTAGGGTTTCACGCAACCCAATTAGGTTAAGCCAGCCTAGCCCAATTCACTCGTAAAGAATTGGGCCTTTTATCAACTATGGCCCACTCTACATGCTAACTAATTCAAGTGCAAGGGAGTCCATTTAATACAATTTTTTTTGGGGCCTAGTTCCTCCATTTTTTGACAAGTTTGATACATAAGCTTGTTTGGTCTAATTTTTCTTTTATTAATTAGGCTTATTTACTAATAAGTTTTGAGTTATTTTTTGGGGAGAATATCAAAAAAAGTGGAAAGATGGTAAAATGTTTTGAAATTCATGAAAGTAGAAGTCGCTCATGCACTAATTTGTGCAAGAAAATGTTATACTTTCATGAATTTGAAATTATTTTAGTACCTTTCTACTATTTTAATATTCTCCCATTTTATTTTATTTTTTTATTTTTTATTTTTTACTCATTTTCTCTCATTTTGATAATGATTTTTTTTTAAAAAAAATATGTTTTGTGTTAGTTAGTATTGGTAATGATATTGAGATATTTATTAAAGTGTTAAAGGATTAGGATACTTTGACTTTTCTTTTGTGGGTTTTGATTTGTTTTGTTTAGTTTATATTGAAATATAATGTGGGAAGGATAAGTAATTGAATTATATTTTAAAAAAATATTTTTACAGTAATAAATTTATTACTGAAAATTAGAGCAAGACTTTCACTCACCTTAGATTTTTATTTGTTATATTTGATTTTGTTTTATTCCTAAGGAAACATGAAGAAAATATATTGAAAAAAAAATGTTACACTATTTATTATTTTAGAATGAGAGTGTATCATATCACTAGGTATAGCGTCTAGTGTTGAAACTGATCAAGCAAAAAAATAATTTTAAAAAAAAAAATATGCTTAAAGCTTCTCTTTCTTCTGCCACACCATATAGAAATAGGAAAAGAAAAATGCTAGAGATACATAACAAATTACCGAAAAATCTATAAAACATTTACATGGTCTGCACATCTAGGGGTCATTAATGGGATGGGTTGGATTTACCCTGCCGCAATTATTATATTTAAATTTCATATTTTAACGGATTTTTGGATTTTGACCAATCAACAGATTGGTACAAATTGAACCTATTTAAAAAATTAAAATTACATCTCATTCATAAGTCCAAATCTGTGAGTCAAAATAAAATTGAACCAAACTACACATTTTTTATTACACTTATATTCTTAAATTTTCCACAGTTTTCATTCATATATTTTTAATATTTTTATTAGTTATTTTTTTTGTTTAATTACTAACATAATTCAAATATTTTGATTTTTTTTTTCAGCTTTTTATATTTCATTTAATCAAAAAGCAATCAAGTAACATATATTACCTATAACTGAAGGGGAAAAAAAAAAAGCAGAAAGAAAGAAAATAAAAACTTTAAACATAAGAACCAAAAAGTCAAATTAAACATTAGATTAAAAAAAAAAATTAAAATTATACTCACTCCTGTGAGCTCTTATGGGCCAGGTTTATGGATGGGCTTAGGTTACAAACATTTGTCTAAAGCCCTAAATCATTTTGTATGAGCTGGGACGAGCTGGACATTCAAGCAGATTGGGACGAATCATGAGACGGGTTGAGTAATATTGAATTTTTTTTCTGTGGGCCATTTGGAACCCCTATACGCATTTATAGATTTTTTGGTAAAAAAAATGACATCCTTGGCATTGTTGATAAGAAAATAACAAGAAATTCAAAACAACTTTTGTATAATATATATATGGATGAGTGAAAATTTGAAATTTGATTGATCATAATTAAGCCAGTGATTCAAACCTCGAAAAACATAAAAAATTATGCATTTCTTCAGCCAGAGAGATGAGGAAAACAAAAACAAATTCAAAGTGAGACCTTTTTTGTTTCGCAGTTGAATAAGTGAAAATTTTGTAGTACTTGATCCATGGCAACTTCTTCGCAAGAAACCTTTGAAAACTCAACCAAATAAGGTGTTTTGGCTTTATGGTACGCCCAAATCTTGAATTTCACATCTTTTATTTCAGTTTCTTTCTCTTCTCAAACACAACTCCATAATCCAAAAACAGATTTGGAAAATATTCTTAAACCTTCTCTTTCTCAAGCCAAAAACAGAGAAATTTAGAAAAACAATAACAAAACAAATTCAAACCAACACTTAGAGACTATATGATGATGGGTTCTTCTTTGAGCAAAAGGGTCTTGAATATGGTATTGCATAGACCATTGTCATGAATGATCAAGTGCCCTCCATCAGGGACTTCGTAGTACTTGATCCATGGAAGCTTTTTTGCAAGAAATCTTTGAAGCTGAAATGGAACCAGAGTGTCTTGATAGCCTTGCCATATTTGAACACAACCTTCACTGTCAGGAAATGGGTTTTTGAGTTCCATTGGATCGAATTCCCAGTTGCCAAAACCTATCATCAAGTCTCGGTACAGAGACTCGTGTTCGCCTTGCTGTCGTATCTTATGCTGCCATTTCCAAAATCACAACAACCTAGCTTCATCAATCTTGAAACTTATGTTTTCCAACACTTCATGTTTGCAACAGTTTAAAAAAATTCATATATTTTTCTTTCTTTCTTTATTTCATTTTATTTTTTTGCTTTTAGTGAGTTTTTGTCTTTAAATTTGTGCTAAAAGTTTTTATTTTTTAAATTTGTCTAGTCTAAAAACAAAAATGATTTTGTTTTGAAAAAAAAAACTAAACACAAAAAAAGCCATTTTTTAAAGTTTTTTTTTTGGTCCTCGAGTAGTTTTTTTTTTTTTCTTTTTTTCTTCTCCATTTTTTCTTGGATAAAGAAATCCAAAAGTAAAAAGATTTTTTGAAAAAAAACCCCCCTAAAAACTGCTAAAAATGCAATTGCTATAGTCAACAATTGTAGTCACAATTTCTTAAACTTGATATTGATCTAGAACTTATTTTGTTTATCCCTTGGCACCAGCTTATAAGATGTTTTCTTTTCTTTTTTTTAAAATATGTGGTGAATTCCCACTTGCCCAGTCCCACCATCAAGTTCTTTGTTTTGTTTTCCAACCAAAAAATAAAAATTGATAGCGATATCAAATGAGACCTTACTGTATAACAAACATATTGTAGGTGCTGTCTCCACACTTTAAATAAAGTGAACCACATTGTTTATTTTATTTTATTTTTTTGTGCACTTCTATTTGCATATAGATTGCTAAATGAATGGATGTGAAGAGAGACAAGAAAATCTACCTCATCAGGATTAGGGACTTCCAACATTTTCTTCAAGATATCAAAGTCTCTTTTGGCAAAAATCAGAGGGTCCCTTGCCATGATTGAGCAAGAAGGGAACCATTTCTGTGTCATCCACCAATACAGCAATCCAGGAGCATAGTGTGCAACCCTAAGTTTCCACTGGTCCTTCATAGGTTGTTTCTTGTACTCATCTGAGCACAGTTGAAGAGGGAATGAAGGCCACCAAAAATTGATCGCTGGAACTATTAGACCTACACCAGCTAGCCTGCAACAATGATATGCATTAGAAGTGCTTAAATTTGAGTTTTGAGCAGACCATTGTTTCGACTAGTTATTATACTTGTGGTTTTAATGTATGCATTATGTGGCATTTTGATTTTTCATGACCCAAAATATGACACGCGTGTTTATGTGATCTCCAAACCTGACACTATTCTGGAATTGAGGCATTGTTTATTTTCAAAAATAGAGATTGGGATTGAACAATTAATACGAAACCATGAAACCCCTCCAAAGAGGGGTCTAACAATCCTATGGGGAGGTCATATTGAAATTAATCCCATAAGATTGGAGGAAAAAAAGATCATTTTGTCCCTTACTACACAAAAACAGCAAATTCACCTTTTACACAAGGACTTTTATGTAATTTTATTGATTTAATCCTAACCAACTAATATCACTATATAATGTGCAAACAAATTTTTTTTTATGTCTCTAACCTAATACCACTATATTAATAATATTCTCACTTAATCTCACCGTATTAATAATTACGGAAGCAACCGGAGCTCAAGGATAACTTTGGAAAAAAGCACATTGATGGTCGTAGATGTATGTGCAATTTACACTATGAAGACCAAAATCCCACATAAAAGTGTTAGATAATGTCTCAATGGGACCACATAATTAAATGTGGTGTTATCATTTATAAGAAGTCTACAATTTAAGTGATTCAATTTAGTTAATAGGCTTAAGGGTATATGTGTTATGGACCTAATGTGTAGATACTAGTTGTATAATTTCTATTTCTATGAGGGGCAGAAATAGAAATTAAAACATAATGGTTAAAGTTGGTTTTCATTCCTTTTGAACTTCCACAACCTTTCAGCTTTGAAAACCAGTAAATAGAAATCAAAACCAACAATGGTTAAAGTTGGTTTTCATTCCTTTTGAACTTCCACAACCTTTCAGTTTTGAAAACCAATTACAACCTCTAAAAGGTTATGGTCCCTATGAAATTTAATTTTTTAACACTCTCAATATAAGTCAATTCAAACAAGATGTCACAACTGAAGTCATCTTCAGGATCACCTTGCCTTTACCCTCAACAGTTGAGGTTGCAGAGTTTCCCATAAACAACTTCTTCCCGTTTGAAATCGGTTCGAAAGTTGTGAACATTCTCTTCTCTGCACAAATATGGCGAGTGACCCCAGTGTCCACCCACCACTCCCTCGGGTTTGACCCCATCATGTTCACTTCTGACACGACGGTTGAGTATGGGTTATTAATTTATGTTTTTCTTATCGTCATTTGAGAGATTTGTGGGAAAAAAAAATTATATGGATGAAGCATTTTCAAAATCTTATTTACACACTACAAAATTTTGTTAGACTACAAAGTGGTTCATTTTTAAATTTTTTTGATCAATAGGCTCAAATTCTATTATTTTCGGACTAAAATGACAATTACAATTTTAAAAGTTATTTTATTTCTATTTATCTATTTATATGTTCACTGTTCATCTATTTATTTATTTTACATTGGATCCACACTCATACAAAACACAGATACTTGCAGTTAACTGCAAATCACATATATCAATTAAAATCAAACACAACACCAAGCAGAGTCAAATGTAGAACAACTGGTTGGGTTTACGATTCATCCCAAGATAAGCCTTTTTACCACTGAGCTATCCGTGCAGGTTTTTCTCGTCCGTCATGCTGACGAAGAATTCTGGAAATAACTCTATCAATATGTTTGTAGTAACATATTGTCCATCTTTTCCAATACACAACTGGCCCAACAACACCACCAAATGCTATGATAAATCCCAACGTGGCACTTATATATACCCAGTTAATTTGAGACTGATTAGAGTTTGAATGCCTATCAACAATTGCTTTATGTTCAGTTTCATTGCAACTAACATTCAATGGAGTTCCACATAATCCAGGGTTTCCTTCAAAAGAAGTTTCTGAAAATGTTTGAAATTGAGAGCCTTTTGGGATCATTCCAACCGGTTGTTTATGTGATAGGTTCAGAAATGAAAGAAATGTAAGACTTGCAAAGCTGTTGCGGGATGTTCCTGTTTAGCCTGTTCCATGCTAGATCTAATGATCCAAGCTGTGTCAAATTTCCAATTGATGATGGAAAGGGCATTGTGTGAAAGGTTGAGAACATATAGGGATTTGAGAGCCCCTACTGTACCTGGTATCTCCCCTTGGAAACTGTTGCATGAAAAATCAATGGAAGTAAAGATAGTTAAGATCTTCACTAACTTCATCTCTTGCCCTTTGTTGGTAACTGTCACTGTATCCTGATAGTAGAATTGATTGAGGTTCAGGAACTCAAAACCCAGGTGATTGAGTTCTGATTGTGCATTACCCCCGTCAATCATCATTGCGTTCCAATATAAGAAGAATTTTTGCGGTAGAACACCACTGAAGTTGTTCAAAGCTATGTCAATGATTTGAAGCTTTGGCCACGTATCATTATGTTCCCCTTCGCAGCGAATGACTCCTTGGAACTTGTTGGATCGCAAGTTTAGGATGCGCAAACTGGATAAGCTCTTTAAGAAGCAAGGGAAGTTATCATATAAGTTGTTGTTGCCAAGATTTAAAACCTCCAAATTTCTACAATTTGCCAAAGACTTTGGAACCTGCCCTTCCAAGTGATTCCCATTGAAGTCCAGCGTCTTTAAAGCACAATTTTCTGGAAATGTCCCCAAAATATTACCAGTAACACTGTTATTGTGCAGATTCAGTACCCCAAGAGTTGCAATACAACTTTCAATCAAACATTGTGGTATAGTGCCATTGAATCTATTGTTGGTCATTCTTTTTGAACTTCCACAACCTTTCAGTTTTGAAAACCAATAAATAGAAATTAAAACCAATAATGGTTAAAGTTGGTTTTCATTCCTTTTGAACTTCCACAACCTTTCAGTTTTGAAAACCAATTACAACCTTTAAAAGGTTATGGTCCCTATTCATTCCCAAGTGGAAAATAAGAACACTGCCATTTTTTTTCTCTAAATCCTCTCAAGGAGAAACATAAGGCACTAAAGGGGAAAGGATTAGAAGGCAATAACATAGCCAATATCAAAGGTTTTATTGACAATCATACGCTTCCGTTTAACCGTTTATCAATGGATTCAGGTATGTCATTTTGTCTTGATTTCTTGATAATACACATGGTAAATGATCCAAAGTGTAAGGTTTATGTTCTGAAATTTATGTTAACAAAAAGGTGTACACAAGGGGAATCATTAGTGAAATTAGGGCAGGGATTTTTAGTGTTTTATTTATTTATTTTTTTAATTTTTTCAAAATAAAGTTGTTAAAACAATGAAATAAAAAAATTTGGAAAAATTTAGTGGAAAGGCCTATTTTGAGAACTTTGGTACCATTTGGTCCCATATTTTAAATGGTTGATTGAGGAGTTCTTATTAGGTATAGTGTGTGACCAGTAAGTCTTTTTTCAAATGTGGATGAGTATTGGTTAGACAATATACCCTTATTAGTTAATTGAGGAAGTTATTTTTTTTTTTGGAATGTGTGATAGGTATAGTGTGATACTCCAATATGGTAGGTATTAATATGACACTCTAACAACGTGACACTTCAAAAAAATTAAAACTCCTTAGTATACTGTTTTCAAATATGACAACAAGGTAAGCATGATGTGACACTTCAAAATTTTTATTCATTCTTAGTGTACTTTTTTCAAATTAAAACTCCCTGGTATACTTTTTTCAACTATGACAACAAGGTAAGCATGATGTGACACTTCAAAATTTTTACTCATTCTTAGTGTACTTTTTTCAAATGTGATAACGTGGTAGGTATGATATAACACTCTAAAAAAAATCCTTAGTATACTTTTTTCAAATGTAACAACGTGGCGGGTATGTTGTGACACTCTAAAAAAATTAAAAACTATTTAGTGTACTTTTCCTAAACGTGACATGTGACACTTCAAGGTGGTGAACCCAATTTGATTGAATTTCTGTGCATCTTCACGTCACGCGTCAAAAAATAATTAGTAAGGAATTTATATCCCACACTTTACGTGTTAAAAATAACCAAACTTTAAAAAGTTACTAGTGTGCTTTTCGAACAATGTGACACACAAACACCCCACCACCTTTCCCATACATAACCACGCCACTTGTCCCCCAACTATACTAACAATGGCAAAACAGTCAACAAATAATTTAAGGGATCACTCAGTCACTAACAAAAATATTTAGGATCTTTTAGATTACAAGTCTACAAAATGAGATTTTACTAGTCAATTTCTCAAAATTTTGTTATTAGAAAAGTTTAGGTAGGGTTTGGAATTATTATTATTATTATTATTTTTTTTTTTGTGTCTTTAGTGATTTAAAAAAAACTTTTTTAGATCCTTCTACGCTAGAAATATTTAAAAAGTAAAAAAGAAATTAACTAAAGACAAATTTTTTTTAAAAAAATTGTGGCTTTTTAGTACTTGCCAATAGGGTGCATCCTGTTTATAATTTAAGGGATCACTCAGTCACTAACAAAAATATTTAGGATCTTTTAGATTACAAGTCTACAAAATGAGATTTTACTAGTCAATTTCTCAAAATTTTGTTATTAGAAAAGTTTAGGTAGGGTTTGGAATTATTATTATTATTATTATTTTTTTTTTTGTGTCTTTAGTGATTTAAAAAAAACTTTTTTAGATCCTTCTAGGCTAGAAATATTTAAAAAGTAAAAAAGAAATTAACTAAAGACAAATTTTTTAAAAAAAAATTGTGGCTTTTTAGTACTTGCCAATAGGGTGCATCCTGTTTAAAAAATTATTTTTTCTATATTGTTAATGAAATAAGCTGAAACCAAACAATTAAAATATTTTTGACTTAAAATAATCAAACTAGTTTTTGTGTGTGTGTGTGTGTGTGTGTGTGTGTGTGTGTTTTGGGGGGGACCAGACTCAAATCTTTTATTAAATTTAAATTTGATAAAAATTTGATGAAAATAGTATTCCAACAGTTTTACTAAATTGGTATTAAATGAAAGGGAGCCTTATCTTTTTTTTTTTTAATCAAATCAAGAGAGCGTTTGATATTTTATCAAATTTCGCAAGTGACTGTTGGTGGATGACTAGCCGAACAACCGAGTGGACGATCGAATTGGGAAAAATTTGAAAAAAATTTACACTAGGCCAGTCGATCTCCTAGACATCCTTCCGGTTAACTGGTTGTTTGATAAAAATTGAAAATTTAGCGTAGGTGTGCTTGGCATGAGATGAAACTTTTAACCCAAATCTTTACTTAAATTTAATGAAAAAAGAAGAAGAATAAAGTTGAAGATTCTCCTAGGCCATAAATATCACAAAAGCATATATCTAATATTTCAGGAACTAAATTGACATAATTGAAATATTTTGGATAATTATTATTATTATTTTTGGGTAATTCAACATAATTGAAATAGGGTAAATTACATTGATACCCCCTGAGGTTTATGTTTATTACAGTTCCTCCCCTCACCTTTTGAAAATTACATTCCCTCCCTAAGATTTAAAGTTTCATTACAGATTGCCCCCTGAAATTTAAAGTTTCATAACAGTTCCTCCCCTCACTGTAATGATCATCATACATAAAATTAAATTAACAGGAAGTCAGTGTAATTTTTCAAATGTGAGGGGGGAACTGTAACAAATATAAACCTCAGGGGTGTCAGTGTAATTTACCCATTGAAATATGAGTGCTTAAAATGCCAAAAAACACATACATTGAGAACCGTCATTGTAATTAGTAACCTAGCATTCATTGAAGCCTTCATATGAGAAAATTCTCAAGAAAGTTGGTTGTGTGATATGGAGATAAGCTTCAAAAGGCTCCAAAACAATACAAATAATTGGAGGTTTTGAACATGACAAAAGCTTAGCATGATAAAGACAATGAAAAAAGTTAAGCATTAAAACAGAGCAAGGATCACATGCCTGTGGGGTATGTATTTGAGGCAAGCCCAAGTGGTGTAAGTTCCAATGGAAACGCCGATCACATGAAACTTAGGTCCCAAATGTAAGTTGTCAGCTAGTTCTTGAAGGTCGTATGCTTCGCTCTTCACTGAGCGTTTTGGGTTCGGATCACTCTCTCCATACCCAGCTCTGTCGTATGTTACAACATATATGCCCAACTCATCCATCAGTTCCTGCACCCAAAAAAAAGAGAAAATAATATATATAATTTTTTTAACCAATAATATTTCTACATGTTCAAGCAATTTGATTAAAATCCCAGGGGTGAAACTCATCAAATATCTACAAGAGTTTTAAGGAAAATTGTACACACAAAATTTACAAAGGAAACCCACTCAAATAAGTGACAGTGGTACTAAAAAAAAAAACCAGAAAAACCAGATAATTTGTATGAGAATCTTATACAAATAAAATAAAAAATGTTGGTATAGCATTACTCTAATTTAATTAACCAGACGTAAAAAATATGGGTCTCAATTAAAGTTCCATGCTGACATGGTATAAGAAGGTTGAGACATTGCTTTGTGGCATACGCTGCATATAGTTCATGTGTAATTCCTACACTCCGCATATTCTCTACTTGGACTCAAATGTAATGCAAACTTTGCAAAAAATATCACTTTATAGAAACAAAAAAGTTGAAGATTAGAAAATCGACAATGATTTCCTTCCAGTTAGACCAGAGTTTAGTTTAAAAATCTGAGAGAGACTAATGCATCCTACAATGTGCCTAACTGGAGACTCACTCGTGTTATGAGATCCGCCAATTTCTCATAATGTTGAACTGTTCTCCAATCCAACTAAGGAAAAACTCCTCTAAAAAAAATTTATAACGGAGATAGTCATACCTGAGAAATTGGCAAGTAAAGGTCCTTGGAACTGTCAAAGCCATGAACAACAATGACTTTGAACTGTGCATTTTCCTTGGGAACACCTCTCTCCTTGTAAGCCAAATGCCTTCCATCACTAAGCTTGATTCTTGGCGAAGTTATTGGTGGCCCCTTTTTGGACCCACATATCTTGGGTGGGGGAGGCCTAATAATGGCCTGATATGCCCATAACACAACACACATCCCCAACACTGCAATTGCCTCTGTCAACATATTCCTAAAAACAACAAAGCCATCAATGACATAAATCTAAGGAGAAATTAGTTTATGTATAGTATTACTACGAATGTTAACATGCAATGACTTTTCGAGGAGGCTAGGTCCTTGTTCAAATCTTATTCTATCACTTGTCTCGAAACAATTCTCTATTGTACGACTCTTTCTGATCTGATTGTATGGTAAAGAAAAACCTTGGTATAGAAAGACAGTGAAGATTCGTACAGAGAGGATCCACTCACCTTTTGAGAAATGTGAAAAGCAATGAAGGACTACCTCAAGATCTTGAACTTTGTTTTGCTTACAGGTTACTCAAACAATGTAGGTCACTTACTTTTATAACTTTCCAACTCTTGAATGTTGGTTGGCAGCTTATTACCTGACCTTCTCAAGAATGTGATAGCAACATAAGAAGCATAAAAAACAAACAGACAAAGATGGATGCAATCAGGATATTAGAAATGCCATCAGCCTCCCTTCCGTCTACTAACTGGATTAGAGGGTTTGGTTTCCAGACTGTGAGTCCACTCCATGCTCACTTCACTAATCTCAACCATTCATCTTCTAATTCTCTCTAATAAAATCATTCATCTATGAAATTAGATTGATCAGAAGTCATATAATTTGATTGTATTTATCTTAAACAAATTAACGCTACATATTATTTGAAGAATAGATCATTTTATTTTTGTAAAACATATATAATATAATTATGTGACTATCAATATCATATAAACTTAAATTTTTGTAAAAATAATTTACATGACAGACAATAAAAAAATATAATATTTGAAATCACTGACCCGACATCGAAATGGACCCAAAACCTAAGCTTCTTTGTTTAGGAATTTGCTAGTTCCCCTTCTTGTCTACCAATCAACGCCGAGTCTTTATGGCCACTCTGTTGAAATTATGGACTTACAAGTACCAGAGGTAGAGTCAAGAAATCATGGAACTTGACTATTTATTAATAAAAATATGGTATGAATAGAGTTAATGGGATCAAATATATGTAGATATGAGACATGTTTCTCTAGAAACTAGGTGGACCTAAGTAATTCTGACAACACACTATATTGATAAGTTAATGACATCCTAACTAAAAAGGTAGAGTAGTTGCAGCAACAAGTCCATTGCATTTGCATCACGTAGAAATTCAGGTAGAATCAACAGCAATTCTATTTCCTTTTCTTACCCCCTTCTTTGCACTTTTAGTAGCTTCGATCAGCCAAAAAATTATTGGGTTAATTACAAAAAAAAAAAATCTCGAGTTTCGTGTGTTTTTCAATTTAAACCACAGAATTTTAATTTCGACAAATTAAACCCTAGCGTATCATCCATGTTTTAATCGGGCCTCCCGTCCATCTCTATCATATTAAACTAACAAAAATCTAGGCAGAATTTTAGATTCAAACCCACATGTTCAAACACTTGTATCTTCCTCGTCGTAACTCTGTTTCACCTTATTTTTATGTCGTTGGATTCAGCTCATAGCTTAGTTTTCATTCCACTCTTCATACGTCTTGTTCCACATCTTTTTACTTACCGTCGAAGTTCCGAAAATTGGCCAAAAATAAAATTTTTCTCTCTTGGACAAATTTTCAGATTCAAATCCACATATTCAAGCACTTATATCTCCCTCGTCGTAACTCTATTTCATCTCATTTTTGTGTCATTAGATTTGACTCATGGCCTAGTTTTTATTCCACCCCTCATATACCTTGTTCCACCTCTCTTTGCACACCATCAGATCTCCAAAATTTGGCAAAAAAAAGCTCTCTCTCTCTCTCTCTCTTTTTTCCTTCCTCCTCTGCGGCTCCTCTACCTGCCTTGCTGCTACTGCTGCTGCTGCTGCTTCTGCTTCATCATCATTATCTGCAAGGAGCTTGGACTACAAAGAATTGGGCAAATTAACAAATTGAAAGTTCAAAAAAATGCTTTTGAAGCTTGAATATTTCCCTTTTTTCTAATAGTTTTTCACATCGAGGGAAGATAATGGCCATTTATTAACTACTTGTTCATAACTGATTGTTGGTACAAACAATCTAATCAAGTCCACTAGAATATAAGGCTCTGTTTGGTTCTTGAAAACGATGTCAGGGAAGAAAAGAAAATTGAAAAATATGGTTAAAATGGTATCTATCTTGGGGGATCTTTTTGTTATTTGTAATTGTCAAATAATTGTCCAATTCAATGTGTGCAACAAAAATTCTTAGTCAGCATTCATGAAATCAAACACAAGCCTTGCTCATTTGAGGTCATTCACTTGAAGATTCATGTAAGCACAAAGCAGCAGTCAAGACCATAAAATTCAACTGCTCAGAATTGTAGACACCGTCAAGTGATAATGATGAAGCAGTAGCAACAGTAACAGCAAGGCAAGAGGTGGACCAAGGCATATGAGGGATGAAATAAAAATTAGGTTATGAGTTGAATCCAACAATGCAAAAATAAGGTCAAACGAAATTACGATGAGAGAGATATAAGTGTTTGAATATGTAGATTTGAATATGAAAATTTTGTCCAAAGAGAGAAAAATCTTATTTTTGGCCAATTTTCGGAGCTCTAACGGCAAGTAAAACGATGCGGAACAAGGCGTTTGAAGAGTGGAATGAAAATTAGGCCATGAGGTGAATCCAACGATGCAAAAATGAGGCGAAACAGAGTTACGACGAGTGAGATACAAGTGTTTAAACATGTGGGTTTGAATATGAAATTACGCTTAGATTTCTGTTAGTTTAATATGATGGAGACGAATGGAGGGGTCAGATTGAAATACAGATGACACTTTAAGGTTTAATTTGTCAAAATTGAAATTTTGGGGCTTAAATTGAAAAACACGCGAAACCTTGATTTTTTTTAGTTAACCCAAAATTATTAGATGATTTTGAATATTATATCATATTATCTACATAGTATTTATGACAATAAAAAACCTAAAATACATTAGAAGCGGGGTTAACAATTATTTTTTGAAATTAGAATGAACAACAATAAAATAAAGGGCTCTTTTTTGATAAATTCTATTTGTAACTGTTTTATTCCATAAAACCTAAACTATTTTTGAATATTCCATTAGGTCCATTAATTGTAAAAGGACGAAATAACCCTCTTCCGCCTCTCCCGCATCTAATCGATTTTGAAAACCCATTCCTATTTCAACTATTCAATCCACAAAATTTCCAAAACAAAAACTGATCGTCGACCCCAGATTCATATTGCCGCACCGTAACCCTAGATTCACATCGCCTCACCATCGTCGTCGTCCACCGTCCACTATCGACCCTAGATTCCTCTTCATCTCACCGCTGCGAAGGTTTACATCGGAAGGAGGTTGCTTCGTTGTTCCAAAATTCCCGTCGGTGGACTGAGTTTATTTCATCGACTGAGTGTGGTCCATACCCACCCACCATGAGGAACAAAAGGAAGCAATACCATTCCACCTTCTGCTTTTCAATCATAATGTGATCACCGATGTATACATTTACATTGCCCTATAACTGTTGTTATTTTTGGAATTGATTTTGTAAACATAGATGATGTGAACATTCACATTACTGTTCATTACTAGATAAATTGACATTAGTAGGCACTGATGTGAACATTCACATTAGTGTATAATAATGTGAATGTTCACATTACTGTCATTGTTGATATTGTTGATTGTTGATGTCCATAGAACCCCCAATCTTCACTTAACAATGTGATGGAATATGATGTAAATATTCACATTATCACATCAATGTCAGACTTGTTGGTGTTGTTGGATGTTGGTTGGTGTTGGTTCCACCCTTTGTTTTTCAGCCAATTATAACATAATGTGATCACCCATGTAAACATTTACATTGCCCTATAACTGTTGTTGTTTTTGGAATTGATTTTGTAAACATAAATGATGTGAACATTCACATTACTGTTCATTACTAGATAAACTGACATTAGTAGACACTGATGTGAACATTCACATCAGTGTATAATAATATAAATGTTCACATTACTGTCATTGTTGATATTGTTGATTGTTATGTCCATTGAACCCCCAATCTTCACTCAACAATGTGATAGAATATGATGTAAATATTCACTTTGTGACATCAATGTCAGACTTGTTGGTGTTGTTGGGTGTTGTTGGTTCCACCCTTTGTTTTTCAGCCAATTATAACATAATGTGATCACTCATGTAAACATTTACATTGCCCTATAACTGTTGTTGTTTTTGGAATTGATTTTGTAAACATAAATGATGTGAACATTCACATTACTGTTCATTACTAGATAAACTGACATTAGTAGACACTGATGTGAACATTCACATCAGTGTATAATAATATAAATGTTCACATTACTGTCATTGTTGATATTGTTGATTGTTATGTCCATTGAACCCCCAATCTTCACTCAACAATGTGATAGAATATGATGTAAATATTCACATTGTGACATCAATGTCAGACTTGTTGGTGTTGTTGGGTGTTGTTGCTTCCACCCTTTGTTTTTCAGCCAATTATAACATAATGTGATCACTCATGTAAACATTTACATTGCCCTATAACTGTTGTTGTTTTTGGAATTGATTTTGTAAACATAAATGATGTGAACATTCACACTACTGTTCATTACTAGATAAACTGACATTAGTAGATACTGATGTGAACATTCACATCAGTGCATAATAATATGAATGTTCACATTACTGTCATTGTTGATATTGTTGATTGTTGATGTCCATAGAACCCCCACTCTTCACTCAACAATGTGATGGAATATGATGTAAATATTCACATTGTGATATCAATGTCAGACTTGTTGGTGTTGTTGGTTGTTGTTTGGTGTTGTTGGTTCCACCCTCTGTTTTTCAGCCAATTATATGTTTTTATTTGAACAAACAGGTCTTCCCCGTAGATTTGATAGCAAACGAAAGAGAGGGGAATCGTGTGCCAAAGGCAAACCCGATCAAACAGCTAGTCCTGAACAAGTGAACATGAAAAAGGTTAACTACCGGTCAAATATAACTGGATTGGTGAAACTGTTGAAGGATACAAAATTTACAAGTGGTCAATTGAAGTGCCTTAGAAAAACACCATTTTGGCCCTTATTTGATTGTTTGATCAATAATGAAGTCAACCTCAACCATTGCATGAAATACAATGATGTCATTGTACGTATAGTGCAGATATTCAAGCCATCTAGTGGAAGGTTTTACATCGGGGACAAGAGCATTCAGATTTTTAGAAGTGATGTATCACTTATTTTTGGGGTGGACTGCGACACCAAGTCGATGGATCTCTCTTATGGTGCAAAACCAACGACCGACATCATACACAGGTGCAAGAATGTTAGTCGGTTAAGTGCTGCCAAAATACGAGAAATTCTGAACGAAGCATTAAAGGGCATAAAGAAACAAGACAATGAACAGGTCGCAAGATTAGTTTGCATATATGCATGCGTCAAGCTGTTCTTTTCTACGTCCGGAGAAACAATTGGATGGGCTTTCTACTCATACATGGACCCATTAGACAACATGATCT